AGCAAACTGACAATGACGAAAGGGAAGACCCCAGCTCCCGATGACAAGCTCGAAAAGCCCAGCACATCAGACCCAGGACGGTTGGGACTAATTCAAAAGAACGATCATTTCTTACGCATTAAAGTCATTCCGTGGAAATCCGCGGAATGTGATATCGAAGTGTGGGGAGCCCCGTATAGTGTTGTCATCAACTCAGGAGCAGTTGTGTTGGCCATATCACCGAGGGTTGTGGAGAAGGCAGGGCGGCGGAAATATTTGATCACGTTACCCGAGAAATACCATCTTGTCTCGACGGATGAAGAAAAGATAAAAGCAGTAGGTCGAATGACGAATGTCGCTTTTCGGTTGGGAAAGATTCATGCTTTAGGAGATGTGGTAGTATTGGATGTTAATACCTATGATGTACTTCTGGGATTACCGGCGCTCGTCGCACTGCAGGCCAATCTGGACTTCGAACGATGATCGGTAATCCTACGAAGTACAGACGCGAAACCATATGTTATTCCAATGCGCCTAACTCTATGGACCATGATGCCCCCGACTCAGAAAATTCCTCCGACTCCCGGAGTCGCTCTCCGAGTAATCACCTGGGGGCAACCAACTCGGAAATTCCAGTACGAGGATGAGGAACATAGTTCCCCCAGCGAGTCCAATAGCGAAAATGAAGCCGATCCCGATACAATCCGACAGTTGATTCGCTATCCAATCCAACAGAAGGCTGCTTAAACATTCGTCCTTACGGAAAGAAACCTGCAAAGGACCCGGACTTTGATCTTTGGGGAACCCCTCGTACAAGTATCCCAGATGATTGACTCTTTGGAACCCCCTCGAACCCAGTACGAAGCCACGACCCCACTTCTCTAGAGATACCGAGAGAAAAAGGCGTTTTGCGACATCTCAGGGCTGCCTCGTTCCTTACTGTCACCCGATAAGGAAATGCGATTATTACACTTAGGGGCCGAAAGCGAAACTTTGGAACCCCCTGGGCACGATGACTCTATGCTTTACGAGTTTGGGGTTAAAATCGTCGAAAAGTCGGTTTCCTAGCAAGATATTAGTGGTCGTGTGACCTTGGAAGAACACGTGGCTATCCGGGAAGAAGACGCTCAGATAGTCATCACCGTGTTCTCCTGACAGTCGGATAACTCCTTCATTTTTGCTCCCCCTACTGAGAATGACCACATAGTGAACACAAAACACGTGGCGGTTACCATACATGGAAAACCATACGAATTGCATGTGCCTCAGTATGTACCTAACGAAACCCATCGACTGATTACGGATATCCTGAATTAATATCAAGAGACCATTTAATTTAGCGTAACGGATACGGATATTGGATTATCTTTAGTCATTCAACATGAGATTTAGACCGGAACTCATCCCTCGATCCACTGTAAGCTATACCGATATTCTTTCGCAGAAAGAAAAACTGCGCTACAAAGGATCCGAGAGTTCGAGGTTAACGGATGGATCGAGCCAGCAACCGGACCTTGGTCATTTCCCGTGGTCTTAGTCCCGAAGAAGAGTGGGTCGATTCGTATTTGCATTGATTACCGAAAATTGAACGATATTTCGATCAAGGATGTGTATCCCCTTCCCCGGATTGATGATTTGTTGGATGCGATTGGGTGTGCGAATTATTTTAGTAAGTTTGATATTCGCCACGGATTTCATCACATTTTAGTTAGTGAGGAGGATCGGCCAAAGACGACCTTCGTAGTATTCGAGGGCACATGGCAGTGGATTCGTCGTCCGATAGGGATCTGCAATGCGTCGGTTACATTTCAGAGAGCGATGAATGTAACATTTCAAAACTTCGTCAACAAGACTCGACTGACTCAAGGGATGATCAATTTCTGCGCCATTGTGTATATGAACGATGTCGTGGTCTATTCAGAATCGTTCCACGAGCACGCACAACATATCGAATGGACACTAGGAGCCTTACGGAACGCCGGATTCAAGATTGCGCTGGAAAAGGGTGAGTTCTTCCTTTCCGAGATCTCGTTCCTAGGCTACATGATAACTCGGGGAGGCTTACGACCCGATTCAAGAAAAGTTGCGGCCGTTCGAAACGCCCCGACTCCCACGTCATTGACGCAAGTTCGAGCTTTTTTGGGGCTGGCCTCATACTATCGGCAATTTATCAAGGGTTTCGCCGCTATCGCATGACCCCTTAACTGGGACGCGAAGTGCGAACAGGCCTAAACGCTCTAAAGGAAGCCTTGGCCACGACGCCTATTTTGATCCGACCGGACCCGGCCAAGCAATTCATACTCATCACGGATTGGTAGCCTGAGGCGATTTCCGCTATCCTGGCGTAGAAGGGGAACGGAGGTCGCGAACACGTTATTGAATACTCGTCTCGTACCATACCGGACGAGAGGAGGAACGATTCGTCTCCTCAAGGAGAATGTTACGCCCCAGTTTGGGAAATTCAACACTTTCATCCGTATCTATACGGACAAAAGTTTCTCCTCGTCACGAACCACGAGCCCCTGCTGACTTTCAATAAGCTCACTAATTACACAGGCATGATTGAACGTTGGGCAGTACGGCTGCAAGAATACGATTTCGACATCGTTCATCGAAAGACGGAGAGGCACAGGAACGCGGACGGATTGACACGACTGCACCGCGCGACAAAGGTTGTTAAAGACGAAGAGATTACTCCGTGGAGAGAACCAGAACCAGTCAGCGGGTCACGATACGGACAAGTGACAGTCCTTCCTCGCAACAAGAAATAGCACGTGGCGATGGGTGACAAAGGTAACCCTGGGGCTCCCTTTTCTCCTCTCTCAATTTCGTCGTTCCCCTCCCCACCTGACAAATTCTGCTATTTTTGCGAGGCAATTTCGATAGTTTATTCGGTCCCTATGTGTCCCAGCGGGGAAGGGTATGTCGAATGGGTAGATTGTCGGCACTGTGTCTCTAGGGCCCATGGTTCTTGCATTCAGTATCGAAACTCGAACAAAGCCTGGATGTGTCCCTTGTGTCGATCCGACAAAAGTCCTACAAAAGCCCGCTTTCTGGAGGCCACGTCGGAGGGTATAGAAAAGACCCGTAGGCTTAGAAGAGCCGAGGTATGGACAAATGTCGTCCTGATAGCTACGGTGGTTGGGAACCCCCTCCGAGACTTTACGAAGGAGGACCGTAGAAGGGCTAATGAGAGGGCACGAGACTATCGATGGAACGACGAATGGTTAGAAAAGCGAAAAACGGACGGGAGTGAAATTTGAATGGTCGTGCCCCATCCATTTGTAAGGTATGACGGGGTTAAGTCGGCACATAAAGAGACTACGACTCACTTTGCCGTATGGATTACAGAGGCGGCGATTGACAAGAATGAATGGTATTGGTCCAATATTCGCGATGATGTTAAATTCATCGTCCGAAATTGTCAGGCCTGCGCCACTGACAAGGCACCGATTCAGCCGCCTAGATCGATAGTGCCTACCGTAGTCGAACGGCGATTCCAGAGGGTTAGTATGGACACCACAGATACTATCGTTCCCCTTGGACCTAATAGTTGCAAGTATTCAATTCTATTGGTTTTCGTAGACCATTTCTCGAAATGGATCGAGGCCTATCCGTGTAAGACGCAACAGGCAGCTGAAATCGCGCGATACGTTAACCGTTTTCTCGGGATGCACCAGGACATCGAGGAGATCATGACGGTCAACAGGGCATAATTTAGAGGGAAAGTTTTGAGGAATCTGGCCTTACATGGTGTCTCCATTCGCAATACTGCTCCCCACATGTCGCAATCCAACGGACTGGTAGAGAACGACAATCGAGTGATTAAGACCGCCCTGCGACGCAATATCGCGGCAAGTGACACGAGGCCTTGGCCCGATATCGTGGACCATATTCTGGCTATTCACCGGGGGACACCCCACAAGTCCACGGGTCTGACCCCTTTCCAACTACGGACTAATAGCCTGCCCTGTGTAGCCCTACCGAGCCTAAATGATGAGACGGCCCTTCCGCGACGGAACACCAGGGCGATAAGGCCCAGCGCCACCTAGAGCTGATGGAAAAAGCCCTTCCCCGACTGGCCCGAAAAAGACAGCGTATGACGGAAATGGCCCACGATAGACCTACTCCTCACTGAGGCAGCAGTGGCTGAGGCTCTTCCAGCCCTAATAGGAAGAGGAGTGTGGTAATCAAATTCATAATTGGAGCCTTGGGCACTGGGCCCATTTAAAAAAAAAACAAAAAAAAAAACCGCTAGAGACCTAAGGCCTAGCCAGGGCACTCACCGAACGAAAAACAAATGAATGCATGTTCCTGCATAATGCTCCCTTCTCTTGCTAGCTCAAGCAGAGCCGGGTAATGCTCCCGGACACCACATTGATGTAATCCTTTTCACCTGAGTTCTGTTATAAGGGACGCCTGACCCGGTTTCCAGCAGGTGAAGCTCCCCACCAAGAGACTGGAGTCATCCACCCAGAGGCCTCGATCCTGTTGGTTCTCGTACCACCACAGGACCGTAGGCGTCTCGCAGGATGTAGGGAAAAAAAAATAAAAAAAAATAAAAAAATGAATGCACGTTCCTGCATAATATGGCAAGGTCCTTCGGGACATCAGTTAAAATTGGAACGATACAGAGGAGGGTAGATTAGCATTGCCCCTGCGCAAGGATGACACGCACCAATCGAGAAATGGTCCATAATGCGGCAACAAGTAACGGACAAATGTTTGCCCGTGCTCTGCGAAGATGCCCTCGCATTTTTCTTGCCTCCGACTTACGGCGAGTCCCGCCCTCGGGCCTGCGCCGCACCACTCAACCTACCAAATGTGAATATGACGGGTGCATCTGTTCATGTTCTAGCGGAAGATTCTTTCTGATTTGGACATTTGGTGAGTGGCGCCGCGAGGGCCTTCGTTCGGCGCCTTCCTGCCCTTACCCGGTAATTGAATGGGACAGGCGCCGCCGCCGCCACTGACGAAGTCGGTCACCAAGCCCGTCGTTTTAAAACGGGTGTGTTCACTCGTAGCATCACCCAACATTACCACCACTACCACGACAGCAAAGATTCGACCCGGCATCGTCTTCGAGGCGTCGGCGATCCGCCACGCCTGTTCAAGCCACGCTCGTCGTGCAAACGATCGCCGCCGCCGCTAAGAGCTCTCTCTCTCTTTTCCATCCACCATGGCGGAGCAATCTTTCATCATGATCAAGCCCGACGGCGTGCAGCGCGGGCTGATTGCCGAGATAATCTCGAGGTTCGAGAAGAAAGGATTTTATCTGAGAGGAATGAAGATGATGGACGTGGAGCAGTCGTTGGCGGAGCGGCATTACGCGGAGCACGTGGGCAAGCCATTCTTCCCCGCCCTCGTTGAGTATATCTGCTCTGGCCCGGTTGTGGCTATGGTGTGGGAGGGGCCGAATGTGGTCGCTTCAGGACGTAAGATGATCGGTGCCACCAAACCGCACGAGTCTGCCCCGGGCACCATTCGCGGGGATTACGCCTTGATTATGGGAAGGAATCTTATTCACGGAAGCGATGGCGTTGACAGCGCGAAGAGGGAGATCGCCCTCTGGTTCCCCGAGGGTCTGTCCCAGTGGCAGAGCTGCCAGAACCCATGGATCTACGAGTAAATGTATGCTCTCTCTCTTTCTCTCTCTGTGTCTCTCTACTGTTGTTATCTTTTGGTAGGCTTTATTCGTCGAATGTTTGATTTATTGGGACTGTCTTTCTTTCGAGGGATGACCAAGCCGGTTGCTTGAGCGTGCGATCTCCCATGAGGGAGGTCGTGTGTTCGATTCTCGAGATCGGAATTGCGGACTTCGATGATGACGAAGTCTTTTCCTTGCGCGAGTGTGGAAGGTCAATTGTGTGTGAGCCTACAGTAGAGGTCTCGTTGGCGGCGGGGGATTTGGGTAATCAGTTATTTTCAAGTATTTTGCAGGTACTAAGAGGAGTTGCGTTGTTGGACAGGTCCTCTCTTTGAGCGGGTGCGTCGCAAGGATTGTAATAGACATTTTTCACCGGGCGATGTGAGCGGAGAGATTTCGTTGGTGGCGGCGGGTTTTGTTGGGGGAAAATATATTTTTTGCCAATTTCAATTTACTGTTGTAAGTCGGTCTTCTGGCGCATTTGCGCGTGGTTTGTAGTACTGGACTAACTGCTGTTCAGTGCGTCTCTGAGTTTGTTTATCTTTTGTATTGGGCAGACAGTGTTGTGACTTCATCCTTTTTAAGGTCTGCTTTTTTTTGGGGGGGGGGGGGAGGGGGGGGGGGGGGGGGGCAAGAATTGTTTTTTTATTGTTGTGTCTGCACGAAGTGTTGTGTTCTTAACTTTTTATTTTTTTTGTTTAAATTTCTGTTTTTCTGGTATGAAGTGCTTTTGCTTTTCTGCACGAGATGTTTTTGTTAGTCTCGGATTTCGTTCTCCTTTCTTTCGTTGTTCCTGGGGTGAGGTCGCGCTGCCCGTATCCAAAAGGATTGGATTTACGCATGAATGTGGACGCCTTTGTGGAGAGGTGCAGAAATAGTGGTTGATCTGCTTTTCTGCATCTCTGCGTGCAACGTGTCCAGATTCAGGAGCTTAATCTTTTTTCCGAGTGGGATCTCGCTCCCGGTGTATCGATGTGTTCCCGGGGCGAGGTGTTGCTAGCGAAGTGAATTGACTCTGGATGTTTTTGTGGAGAGTAGGCATCACGATAGATCTGCTTTTCGGTATCTGTTAGTGAAACCGGACCAGATGCAGGTGCGAAATCTGATCGTAGTGCGACATTCCCCCGGTGTGTCTGTTTGCTCCGTGTCAATTCGGTACGGTAATGAAAAGGATGAATGATGGAATTTTTTGCGTGTGTCAGTTTGCAAACTTTGTTTTTCAAATTTTAGGGACCATTTCTCATTTTTTGCGTGGTTCTGATTTTGTGAGTTTTCCCGGATGCACTGTCTAGGTGCGTAGCATGCACTCGACTGTCTATACCAAAGGTGTCCTGTTAGTGCTTTTTTCGGTATCTGTTAGTGAAACCGGACAAGATGCAGTCGCCGAATTACTTATCTTTGCCAAAGGTGTGTCCGTTAGTGCTTTTTTCGGTATCTGTTAGTGAAACCGGTCCGCCGAATTACTTCTCTGCCAAAGGTGTGAACCTGTTAGTGGTTGAATATGCTTTCAGGTGGTTCTTCATTCGAATCGGTGTTTCCCCCCTCCCGCCCCCCTCTCCCTCATTTGTGTTTTATCCCCCACCTAGACCTTTTCGTCAGTTCAAGTCGTTGACTTATCCGTGCAAGGCGTCCTTTCTTCCCCTATCCTGTTCTCATTTTTTCTTATTTTTGAAATTTTAAAGCTCCCCCCCTTGACAAGTTGCTTTTTGTCAGCCCACTCTTTCTATTGACGTGTTTTTGACGTGGCTGTTGGATATGAGTATGAAAACTTGGTAAAAAAGGTATCATTTTCCCCCTCCTTCTCTGTTTTGCCCTCCTTGGTCGTCTCACCCAACCCTCTCTGCGTGCTGTCTATCCTCCACGGATCACTACCTCTAAGCGCCCTACCTTGTTCCCCCAAATACAACGTATGGTCATTATAGCTGTATTTGAGGCATCTTTCAGTCTAGATACAGCTATAATGACCGTACGTTGTGTTCGGGGAGGAAGGTAGGTAGTCAGAATAGTTCGGACAGCTTTCGAAAACGAGGAGCCCTGTTAATCCGCAGAAGTACCAGAGTCGGTAACTCTAAACCGTAGCCCTCTCCGCTTTTTGTTGATCCCTCAAGTGTAGATTATGAGGATTGGGGAAGCCAAATGATTTTTCTCGAGGACTGTAGAGGGTAACCCTACCTACCGACTCTGGTACTTAACCTTAACCACCGGATCGCTCGCTTTTGCTATTCCTTTTTTTTTTTTGGGGGGGAAAGCTTTTTGTAGTCGGAATGTATGGTAGGTACCAAGGACGGAGAAGTTAACAAAAAAGTAACCTAATATTAGTCGGCCCGATGGACAACGGACAAAGGTATTGAACTGATTGGGTCAGAAACATTGAACTGATTAGAACAGTTGTTACTTACTATGCTTGGTGTATTTTTAGAATGATCTCCATATTCAATGTAGGGATTCGATTTAGACTATTTCCGTTAGATTTTTAATTGATCACCTCGTCGATACTGTAAGGAATCAGTTGCAAATAAATAATCCTGCTATGTAATAGGAACTAGTCCGACTATACGTGGTTGATGCCTGCTACCGTCTTCACGCGAATAGAACGCCCGGTCATTATAGCTGCATTAGGGGCAACTTTCAGTCCAGATCCAGCGTTAATGAACGGGCGTCCTATTCGGGTGGAATGTCAAATAAAAAAGGGAACAAATTCTGAATGTCCCTCCGACTTTTAGTTATGTGCAGTATGCCCCTCCTACGGCCAACTTACCCTGTCGTGTCCCTGGGGCCTCTGAAGTTTTATGCCGGCAAGCCCCTGACCGTGAGGGGTCCGACTTTCCACCATGCCACTGTGGCCGTCGGTGGCACTCGCGGCGGTTCCCTCTGCCCCTGAGAGGGGAGCTACAGGGGCATATTGGAAATTTAGAACCGCTACCGGCAAGGGCATATTGAACATATTTCAAGCCCAAACGACGCCAGGGGTTATATTTCAGGCCCAAGCGATGCCCTTTTTTTTTTGGAAACTTCAATCGTTGTTCCAGGGGTGCGATAGGGTAAGTCGGCCATCAGAGGGGCAAACCACAAATAAATGGAAGTGGGAGGGGCAATTAAAAAAATGCCCCCCCCCCAAAAAAAAACGGAACAACAAAGGTAAGGAATTAGGCGAAATACTTACGAAAAGGAGAGGTGTAGAATGTAGTGTCGTCATCTCTCTACAGGAAAAAAAAAAAAAAAGAATGTAGTGTCGTCATCTGTACAGCATAAGTAAAAAACAAAAAATCATCCGTCCTAATTTCATCTGGCCGTATGGAACACGGATTCGAAACTGATCGGATCAGATATTGAACTAAACAGAAATTTAGCAAAAACTCCAAAATCATTTCTTAACAATTTAAGAAAAAGTTCGAATAAATTTCAGAAAAATTCCAGGAAAATATCAGAACACGGTTTGTAGGGTTGGAGGGTTATCAGAGCTGCAGCGGTCTGGATGTGGCCATGTCTGCCTCTGGATGCTTATCCAATGGCGATACTGAAGAGAGCAGATTAACGGAGGTGCAACATTCTAGACTTGTCATGCCGTTTATAAAAAGACCCAAGGGTCATCAAAAAAAAAAAAAAAACGAACGTAAAATTCCAACCTCCAATTTGGGTCCAAAAAAACAAAAAAAAAACAAAAAAAAACCGTAAAATTTCAACCTACAAACCCTAATTTCAGTTTTGGACCCGTTAAGTCACGACCTGGAAGTGAGTGGGAATCCCCGGTAGCCACTTGTGGCATTGAAGTTGGTGGTGGTCCCAAAAACTGTTGATTGGGGTCCCAGCACTGTTCGCTTTCGGATTGCTCACTTTTCTATTAGCAATGCATTGTTGTTTTCCAAGAAAAGAAAGGTGGGGGGTTAACTTTAGTGGGGTCACAAAAACGAGTTAGAATTGCACTATCATGATGGAGCAAGATACGGTTTGCGATTGCACTTTGGGCACCGTACCTGGCCAGAAAGCTGGGTTGTATACGTTGCCCGAACTGCAATTTGAAACTGTATCATGGCCCATAGTTCAATAATTATAATTCGTTTTTGTGACTCCAGCGGACCCGCGTAGTCTCCACAAAGGAGAAAGAAACCGATTTGATCTATTTTTCGTCTAAAGTCTGAGAAAGGCATGGAATGTATGCAATCTGTGTACAGCATCAGGAACAAAATCTAAAGTCATCTGATCCGATATTAAGATGATCAGAGATTTAAAAAAACAAAAAAAACAAAAGATGATCGGAGATTAAACTGATCGGATTGAAAAAAAAAACGGATCCGATATTAAGATGAAAAGAAAAGATACTACCCTCGATCTATTTCCATGTACAAGGCCAAGAAAAAGTAACGGATTGTATGTAATAGGTATATATTGCATCGACTCCAAAGCATATGTAATGGATGAAACTGATCTTTTAAAATAACGGCAGGAAGTCCGATTGAAAACGTATCGTTATACAGATGGGAATCTGTCACCCTTGACATCCACTTTGAGCGCTCTAGAAAGAGGAAATCATCAGATTCTCTGAACCTATCCATAAACACGTGCAGACTCAGGTGTCATAGAGGCAATGGAGTAGGAGTAGCTACGAACATAGCGTATGCCAACAATCGACTTTTTTTATACCATGTTGGCTGTCGGGGAAATGTGCGATTTTTTTTTTTTTTTTTTTTAATTATTATTATTATTGTTTTTGAATACGATCGAAGGCCTGCGTGGAGTGAAATGAGCAGCTCCCCCTACCGTCTTCACAAGAATAGAACGCCCGGTAATTATCGTCCTATCTGGGCTGAAAGGTGTGCCAAATACAGGCATAATGACCGGGCGTTCTATTCGGGTGCAGATCGTCAGGTAGGTAGTAGGCGGTCCCTCTCTGGTCGCTACAATCTATCGGTGGGAGGCGCTGCACCTGCTGATCGTCTTTGGGGAATATGTGCGAGTTCTTGAGCTCTATGAGAGCATGTCCATGTAAAAGATTAGACCAAAGCTTGTTCTATGCTTAGAGTAACTAAAAAGCTTTCACTGAGCTTTGACTATGCATATGTCATTGCTTTGACTATGCATATGTCATTGGATCAGTACCTCTGGGCCTCGGCCCTCCGTGCAAGCACGGACTCGCACCGGCGACCTTGGCCTTAAGAGCCGAGTATCGTAACCACTACAGCCAGGACACGGTGTTCAAAAGCGGAACCATACCGGCCATGATATCCGCCCCACCCCTGCAAGGCTGTAGTGTCCACACTCAACGCACACCACACACAACACCACACGGACGCTGGCAATCACCGCACACTTCGCTCCCAAGTAGCACATGACGAAGCTTAGTCATCGCCCCAAGTAGCACATGACGAAGCTTTGACTAAGCATAGACTAAGCTTTGACTAAACACGTTTTATCTATGGTTGTTTCGTGTTCACAGGCAAGAGCCGACTTTTTGCTTATGTGTTTCTTTCTTTCTTACGTTCTTTGAGGGCCCTGGTAGACACTCGTGCGGCACGTCCACGGGCTCCGAGGATGAATCCGTCGTCCTTGTTCCACTCATCCTTGGGAGTGTCGGCTTTTATTGATATTATTATTATTATTATTTGTATTTTAAAAAAAATGGACCATTTCTCGATTTATGCGTGGCGTCCTTGCGCAGGGGGCATGCTAATCTTCTCTGTATCGATCCGATTTTAACGGATGTGTCGGCTTTATCTGTGGTTTGCTGTGCACAAGCAAGATAGCTTTCGGCTGCCTCACAACATACCACGAAGGGTTTTTTTTTTTTTTTTTGTCTGTTTTTGTTGTTTTCCTTTTCTCCCGTTGCCCTCGGTGTTATCGGCCTCCTTTTCTCTCGTTGTCCCTGGTTCGTCGATCTTGTGTCCTTACCCTTTGCTACCATCTCCCTTCGCTGCCGTCTCCCTACCAGCCCTATCTCTTTGCTACCATCTCCTTCCCTTCACTATCCTCTCTTCATCTAGCCCTTCGCTTTCGGACTTTGCTTTCTTATCTTCTGTTTCGCTGCCCCTTTGCTTCCCTGTCGCTTTGACTTCCTGTACCTTTGCTTCCTTGCCGCTTTGCTTAACTGCCCCTTTGACTTCCCAACCCCCTTGCTTGCGTGTCCCGTGGTTTCCTCTCCCTCTCCCGTTGCTCCCTTGCCCCTTGCTTCCCTTTGCTTCCCTGTCCTCTTAATTCCCCCGTCCCCTTGCAGGGATGCACCCCTGTTCCTTTGCTATGGGCAATGAAAGGGGCGACTGATTGGGCTCGTTCTTGTGATGGGGTTGGTGGTGGCCGTTTTGAGAACATACACGTGCACTTGCAATGTGGTCGGTCAGTTCAATGGTGATGATGGGCTCCGCACTACTCTCGAAATGTGCAAAACGAGAGTGAATCTTTAGCTAGAACATGGAACGATACACCATCAAAAAAAAATAAAAAAATACACCACCATTATTTTTGTCTTTTG